AGTCGGGCGGGCGGCCGGGCCGCTCCGCGGTCGGGGTGCGCGCTCGAGGCCCGCGGGCGTTTCCTTCAGGGCGGGGGCGCCCTCTGCCCCTCCGCGTCCTGTGCCAGTTGCCGGTACTAGCTGCACAGTCCGTTGCGGACGTCATAGATGGCTGTTTACTGCCTCTTTGAGTGCTGCTGAGTAAATAGTCACTAGACAGTCCTGGTGGAGGAGGGAGTGTCCCGGCCTTATAAAAAGGTCGTAAATGTCCGCGTTCCCACACCACTTCCGTGAGGCCGATGGTCACCAGGTAAACGATCGCTGGCCCGTTAAAAGCCACGTTACGAGCCCCTTCCGCCTCGGTGGGTCCAGCGTTTCTCTCCGCAGACTAGCGTTGCTCTGCGTGAGTTCAGATTTGAGTCCGCATTCCCCCTCTCCTAGCCCGAGCCCCAGAGAGAGCAAGTAACAAAGCAAGTCTCCCATCAGTAGGGAGTGACAGAAAAGGAGAGAGAGAAAGAGAGAGAGAGGACGCAGACTAGAGAGTGAGATGAAGGTAGGTTAGCTCCCAGTATGAAGGTCAGAAAACGGAAATTACCAAAACATAAAGTGCAAATCTTTCCCCAGCGTTTTGGTCCCTGGAAAAGAAACTAGAGTGAAAGATTAATCATTTTGGGCGGGGGCACTGGGGAGATAGCTCAGCAGCATAAGCGCCGCCTGGCAAGCGCGAGGTGCTGCGTTAGATTCCTGGTACCAAATAATAACAATAATAATTTTTTTTTAACTTGCAGGGATCATGAGGGCGTGGTTGGGATGTTCCCGGCTTGACTTGCATCTCAGCACCGGTTTCACTGCCCCTCCCCAGATGTGCGGTGCTGGGGGTTGCTGACAGCCTAGGCAGCGTACGCAGGTAGGGCCAGGGTCGGACGCAGGCGCTGCATGTGATGGCTGGGGAGGTGCTAACGTTCGCTCATCTTTCCGTAAAAGTCACAAAGCGTGGTCACTCGGTGTGTCTTCGTGCTCATGACCACCCAGAACTTAAAAACTGAGGCGTTCTCATCTCCGTTCTGGAGAGTGGGGAACCTGAGATGAGAAAAGGAAAGTGACTTGTGAAAAGCAGCTCGACCGGCTGGAGGAGACAAGAACGACCCAAATCTGAAAGTAGCAGGAGAGAAATGAGAAACATCAGACTGGAAATTAGTGAGTGTGAGACTGAAAAACAGCACAAGGATCAATAAACTGACGGAAGGAACCGGGCATGGGAGAGACGGGAGGAAGGAGAGGAGAGGGGAAGTGAAAGAGCCCAGTGCAGCGTGTGCCTGCGTCGTTCCTCCGTGACAATGCATTTCCGTGTAGGGCAGGACCGTACCCAGGAAGGCTAACAGCGCAAAGCCGCCTCTCCTCCCGCTGCAGACGTCAGCTCTCCCGCAGCGCGGAGCAGCACAAGAGTGCTTGCTGCGTCTGGAGCAGAGGAGCCTCGCCACCCTTCTCAAAGCACCCGAAGGCTCTCTGTTCCGAGGAAGGGGCTCGGCCCAGGGTGATGACCGCACAGACCACGGACACTACCTGCCCCTGTCGGGAGAGGAGCGGGAGCTGGGACACAGGTGGGTGAGGCTGGGCCAGGACCATGGTCAGGTGGGGGGAGCAGGTGGAGAAGGCCTTGTGCCACCTGCTGCGCAGCGGATCTACAGGTGGGCGGGTAGATCTCCAGGACCACCAGGTTGGCCAGGAAGAAGTACATGAGGGTGTGGAGACTCGTGTGACCCAGACACAAGGAAAATGGGCACATTCCCACTGGCACTGACTAGGTACATGAGGAGGAAGGCAGGGAACATCAGCGCCTGCACCTCAGGCACTTGGAGAAGGGAACGTGGTCATTCCAGCTTGGCGACACATGCTCGGGATGAAGAGCCCGGGCACTGGCTCGGGCACTGGAGAGACAGTGGCCAGGACTGGAGGACCAGACGCTTCTGCTGGACACTCCACTCTACCCTGGCCTCAGCATCCTCCATGTCCTCAGCTCCAGTGGACCCTCCATCCCACCTAAACCGCAGCTCAGCTCCGTAACACCTCTGCTGTGTGCTCAGCCCGCCATAGCTGACCCCTCAAAGCCTCCTTGTTGCTATTTATTTATTTATTTATGTTCTGTTTTGTTTTTTGAGATAGTGTCTCTCTATGCAGTTCAGGCTAGCCTTGAACTCACTGTGTATCCCACCCTGGCCTCACACTTGCAGCAATCCTCCTGCCTCAGCCTCCCAAGTGTGGGATTACAGGCATATGCCACCACCCCCAGCTCACATCTTTTTTATTGTTATAAAATATATGTAACATAACTATCACTTACACATTCCTATGTGTATAATTCAAGGGCATTAACTACTTTCACAGTATTATATAACTGTCACCTCTTTTTATCCTCAACAAAACTTCTGAACCCACAATGCAGAAACTCCTCCTTATCCTTCCCTCCCACCCCGTAGTCCCCTGTCTATGAATTTGCTTGTTCTATGTACTTCATATAGGTGGTATTCGTCATACTGTGTCCAGTGTATTTCACTGGGCACAGTCAAATTATTTTTTAAATTAAAGTCAAGATCCACCCATGTTGAAACATATGTCAATATTACATTATTTTTATCACTGAATAATATTCCACATTATTGTTACACATTTTTACCCATTCATTAAAATGAGGACAATGAGCTATTTCTACTTTCTTGGCTATTGTAGATAATGTTGCTATAAATGTGTGTACGAATACCTCTTCAAAACATCACTGAAATCTTAAACCACGGTATACCATTCTCCAAAACACAGCCTGTTTACTTCCTTGATCCCTGCCTCAATGGCAGGAGCACAGTCTTTGGAGCACCTAGGTATTTCTTTACCTCGGGTGAATGACCAAGAATATGACCTGAGACAACACGTGGAAGCCTCCTCCCATGGAAGACAGGCGAAGCCATGCTGACACCTGCATGCATGCTTATGGCCTCAGCTAACCTGCGCACTTCCCAGGCCCACAGCTTAATACCATCGAGCTCCCATCACCCTGGGGACACAGCTTCCGCTTCCGGGTTGGGGGGTGGGGTGGTGAACACTCAGTTCAGGAAGCACTTCACACACAATAGGCAGGTAAGTAGGACTTTGCATCCAGCACCCCCAGTTAACAGGATCACCCCTGCCTAGAACATACTCTGGCTCGCTTTGCGACACTCACGTCTGAAGAGACATCACATCAATCAAGTAAAGACACTGTTGCCTTCCGTCACATAGAATAAAGCAACCTGGTATTCCTCCCGATCTGCAATTTTTTCCCTGACATATTTGCTGTGTTTTCAAGTCCAACAAATAAAACCCTGTAAATCTGACTCCCTGCCCGCTCTGGCTTTGCTCTTAAAGCTCTCCCTCTGTCTCCTCCCGTCTCCTCCCCTCCCCTCCTGTCCTTCCCTTTCCAAAGCCTCTGCCTTGGGGCTATGACCTAGTAACAGGGCTTCAGCCCAGCCCAGCCCAGGCAGCAGGGCTGGAATGCAGACGGCAGTACCAGGACAGCCTGAAGATTTCTAAGAGCTCCTGAGGACTGAAGTTCGCTGCCAGAGACAGAGGCAGGAACACAGGCCTCCCCGTCTCCACCTGGACACTTGATCCTCATGGATTAATCACGAGGGAGCCGGGGACTCTGCCAAGAAGTGTTTTCTCCCGCATGCGCTTGTTTCTGTCCACAAACTTGAGGCTGGAGGAGGACATGGCTGGCTTCATTTGACCCGTGCCGATGCCCAGGATGCAGGCCAGTGCCAGGCGATACACAGCCTTGCGCTGACGTGAACAGCGAAGCTGTCCTGGGTGAGGGTTAGAGGGCCACTGGCACTTCCAAACAGAAACGATAATCTTCGTGTCGGCACTCTCACACTTTGGGGCACTTGTGTAGGTGGAAAGTCAGCAATATCCTAGAAGAAGTTTCACATGCGAATTGAAGAAGATATCCTGAGGAAATCACTGGAATAGGGAGCCACGTGAATAAATATGTGCATGCTAGAGTTGAACAATTTTGTAAAGGAAAACAAAACAACTGCTCAACGAAAGGCATATCCCAGGCGGTTTGGGGATGTTAGGTCCAGGGTTAAAGTTCATATATTAGAGTTAGCGCTGTTGCACTCAAGGGGCTTCATGAAAGGCTCACGGTGTAACGCTGAATGAGAGGACAGCTTTGTACAGCGTGACATCGACTGTTACTCCAAAATGAAGCTGTTAACCACGGCTTTTGACAGAATGACGAGATTGTGGTTTTCTTCGTGCCTTTCTCTTTGTTGCATTTTGTGTAAAGAACATTTATTTCTTTAAATTATAAAAATATTACTTTTTAAATTCCCATTTGAGAGGCTACAAACCAAAGTGGCATAAAAACCCCAGTAATTCTGCAATTAGTAATTGTGAAAGCCAGAATTAAGACGTAGGAATGGCCACAAAGTCTATACACGGGGTAACGGTGCAGTCCAGGGTGTGCTAGATCTAGATCGTTGCTGATGTATTTGCTCATTTTCACACATAACTGGCTCTTGGCCTTAGCGAACCTTTTATAGAACTGCCTTTCTGTTCTTGATTCTTTCCTCCTCTCTTTTTTCTTCCTTCTCTCTTCCTTTCCTTCTTTCCCTGCTTCCTTCCTATCTCTTTACCTTCATTTCTTCTTAAAATGAACCCTTTGAGGCACAGCTCACCCTTCCAGTCCTTTGAGAGCTATTAAAGAATTCCAAGTCTTTGCTCCAATGAACACATCCACAAACGCAATGGACCTGTTTTCCAGAGCTGAATCGGTACATGGAGTCGGATCTCCATGAAGCTGCCACCCTCAAACGTTCCACCAGATTTCATTAGCAAATATTTTTTCAAAAATAAGAAAGGGCTCTGTGTAAGCCATGTCTAGAAGACTTAAAAACCTGTGGAATTCACTTGTATTGAAAAAGCACATTGTTTACCGTATTCTCATTGCACTCCGCCTCTCCTGGACACACACTTCTCTTTGAGGGACACACATCGTCCATCCTGTTTGACCATGAGTGCCACATGAAATGTTCATGTAAAAAAGTTCACGTTTCCCTTGTTACATTAGCTGCTAGGAAGCCCAAAACTAAGCTTTATACTCAATTATTAAGCATTTCTCAGCCCCAGTTGAATTAAGTAGCTATCTCCATTTCTATTTTTTGTCTTTTATTCTATGCAGTTGGCTTTGCTATCAGTGTTCTACTAGAAGATACTGTTTAAATGCATTCAAAGTATTGTAAATATATTACATAAATAAAAATATTCTTGTCTTCTTCATCTCCATATTAGGCATTGCCGAGTAAAGGAAAAATCTCCCACTTTCTCTCTGAGGTCTGTTCCTCCTCTCGGGGCTTCTCAGCAGGATGAAGGTGACAGCACCAGGACTGTTTGTGGTGGTGAACTGCTCCTTTCTTTGTGTTGTTTCGTGTTTTCTTTGCAGCCTCAAAATCCCACAGTACTTACATACCTCTTCCTACCCAGGAAGAACGGACGCTCGGGGACGTGGTGTCTTCTCCGTGGGGTCTCTTCTGTGGCACCACACGACCTCCCAAGACTTGGACATCAGCCCCCAAGGCTCTCTCTTTTCCCAGAAAGCTTTGGGCGTGTACCTTAGAAACCGACAGCTTGCAGCCCGAGTGTCCAACAAAGCCTGTGCCTCTGTGGAGAAGCAAAGCCAACCGCATAAAATAAAAGACAAAAGGCAGAAATGGAGATCTCTGCTGAACTCAGTTGGGGCTGCGAAGCTCTTTCTCACTCTCCTCGGTCAGCCTGGGAAGTGGCACGTTTCTTGGGAGAGACAAGCCTGTCCTTCTCTCCTGCTCAGCCGGGGAAGTCTGTTTGGAAAACTAACTTGTATCACGGGCAGGACAGCGCCACCTCGTTAGCTCCAGGAGGTTCAACTCCCACTCGGGTTCATTTGCGTCCCAGCCCCGGGATGCCCCTGGGGGTTCAGGCCGCCTCCCAGGGCCGCAGCTCAGGCAGGCAGGTCTCCCTCACGCCCTTCCCTTCTCCTGCCTCCGCGGACGGCAACCGCATGCTTCGCTGAGCCTGAGAGAGCCCCGGGTGTGGCCGCATCCGTGAGCAGCCCCCTTTCTCTGAGAACAGCGCCTGCGCTCCCACCCTGCTGCCTCTTCACAGGAGTGCGGCGCTCCGGGCTGTTTCTCCACTCTCGCCCTCCACCTCCTTTCTGGAGAATTCCCTACCCGCCTTGATTCACTTGATTCAGCCGAGCCCCGGGCTACTCGCTCGGCTTTCGACTGGGCCGTCCCAGCCAGCTGGGTTTTGTGTGAACACAGCAGGAACTGCTCGGAGATGCGATATTTCTAAACTGGCTGATCTAGGGTGCTAAGCCCAACTCCTGGCTTTATATTTCTTTTTCTTCCATCAATACGGGTGGCCAGCAAGAAGAGAGCGGTGTTAAGAAGGGCTCACCTAATGCTCGGTGACAGCCTGCCTACACTTTTAGTTCAAAGAAACAAAGGCTTCTTAAACAGGTATCTTCTATAAACTAGTTAAGCAGGAGGAACATTTTCTTCACTAGCCAGTGCCACTGAAAGTTACTTAGCAGGCTTAAGCCATAATTTTATTTGTGAGTAAATAAAATTAGAACATAATTACATTGTTTTGTGCTGCTCATATGTAATTCCATTATGAAATTTGGGCTCACTGAAGGATATGTGATGAAAGACATAAAAACCAACCACATCCAAATCTTGTACAATAAATATGAATCATCTCTGCTCGTTATTATAAAATTTGTGGATTTCAACTCTTGAACAGAAGCTATAATCGGGGACTTTTCCTTCCCCGGTTCCTATCAGGTCGCTCTTGTACAAGAGAGTGTGGAGCCCTTCCCACGAGACACGCTGTCTAATCAGGCTCTACTAGTTTAGATTTATTCCCTAATGTCCATTCAGAGAATCAAAGAGCCCTGACCATTTACTGATTGTGACAGGCCACCGCAGAGCTGTTCTCAGGGTCATGCACAGCAAGGGCACACCAGCGTCCTGTACTGAGAGGTGGCCCTAGGGAATGCCTCTCCTACTCACTGACTTGGGTGGGTGAGGTGAGGTTTGGGGTGGGTGAAGTCACCACAGGCTGTGGACTGAGACTGCGACAGCTCTCGGTAGATGTACAGCTTAGAAAAAGGCTCAGTGTTTTGTGTGTAAAGTGAGGATGATAAAGAACCTACTCCCTGAGAATGAAGGCAACCTGGTGAGTTACTGCATGCTAAGCAGATAAAACAGTGTCTGGCACATATTTAAAGGTTCAGTAAGTGATAGCTAGTGTATGGTAATTGTTGATGTGTTTTTATACATACTGTATGCTCTTTTGAAAAATGCAGGGAAAGATCTTCGGAAGTCTAAGCCTTAAAGAAATAAGCAGTAGATTTCTCCATTAGTTTTGTATTATTAAGTGAGCTCCAAAATTCTCAAAATTAATTGTATTTTGTTCTCTCTCTTGGCTGCCGGGAGGCACAGAGCCTGTAGCTGCACTGACAGAACTGCAGGGAGCGTTTCTGCAGAGCAGGCTCACTCTGTGTTCTCACAATCCCGCCTGAAAGTTTTTCTTTGCCCCAATCTTCTTGACTATGTATTGTTTTTAAATAAGTTTCTTGTTGCTGGTTTTTGAAACAGTCTCCTAATTCACTCTGCTGTTCAGACTGGCCTTGAACTCACTACAGAGCCCAGGATGGCCTTGCATTCAAGGCAACCCTCCTGCCTCAGCCTCTCGAGTGCTGGGACTACTGGTGTGCACCACCATGCCTGGCTGTTTTATTTTTTAATTCTTATTCGTACATGTTAGCAGGACATAATGATTATATTCATTGTGAGGACTTGGCACTTGTATGTAAAGAGAATTGACTGTTTTTAACTTTTATATTAAATTTGTCTGTAAGCTGCTTCAAATCTGTGGAAAGATAATCCGAACAGAGTAATTAAAAGCAGGAAGCAATTTCTTAAAATCAACAAATGCTGTTGCTAGCAGCAGAGTGTCTACTGGCTGTCCTCCCATCGGCTCTAGTGGAAAGAGCGGTGCGGCTCTGCACCTCGTGAGGCTGCTGCCCGCCCAGGGACCCCGCACGCCTGCCCTGGCTCCCGTGCTGCTCCGCTCCCTGTCTCCCGTTCTCCCGGCTGTACAGTAGAGTGAGGGCTGAGTGTCCTTTACCATCTATTCCGTTGTATTTGCAACAGCAGGAAGAGAATGGGATTCTCTACTTCTTAACACTTTAAGAAAAATACCTAAAAAATTCTTTCCCCACCTCAGTCCTCCCTCTGGTCCGCCCACCAAGTTCCACAACCACCTGCTCACTGCCTGCTGCGGGCCGGGATTTCCCAGCAAGGATCCTGGGCCCCATGGTGATCTTGTACAGAGAAGCAGCTGAGCTCACTGCTGTGGCGAAAGCTCCTGTGACGGTCAGGAAGGGGAGACTGGAAAACTTAGGAGAGCCGCTCGGTTGCAAGTCTGACTTCAAAGAAACACCTTTTTTTTTTTTTTTTTGGAGATGAGGGCTTGCAGTGTTGCCCAGGCTGAGCTCAAACTCCTGGATTCAAGTGATTGTGGCTCAGCCAGCCAAGCTGCTGGGAGGAGAGTTGTGCACCAGTGCACCTGGACCCAAAGAAACACACACACAACACACACACACACACACACACACACACACGCATATGTAGATACATAGAACAGCTTATTGTATACGCTATTATATTTTTGCAAATCCCTTATCTCATTAAATTGTCATTCAGTTCCTTGAGTAGATCTGTCATCATATACTATTATCCCCTGCAACATAAGGGAAAGTTTAGAGCCCAACTTGGTGCCCTGGACCCTTAGACAAGTCACTTACAACGTGCTTAGCACAGTTCCAGAAAATACAAAACAAGAGTGAGCTACTTCTTGTCCAAGGGGCCTCATAGACTTATTATAGCAATAATACAAAATGCACTGAACTCTGATGGATTAAAAGTACTACAACTGAGTGAAAAGGCAAGATCACCATCAGATAGAGGAGGCGGACAGATGCCATTGGGACGTGGGACTTCCACAGGCCTTGACATGAGAAAGGCCAAGAGGATGTTTGGCTGTGTGACACCCCTGCTGCAAATGGCCTAGAAGAGTGAAACAGACGCCATCTGCTGTGTCACCGGGGTCCCCACCTTCCACCGTTCGTTGCTTCTTTCTTTCCCTGACTTTCTTGCACCGCCCTTACTCTAAGCCCTGGGGGGGAGAGGAAGCCGGCTGAGATGTTAGGAGGCAGCCCAGGGCTTCCCCCCGTAATTTAACAGAGTGGAGAAGTCAGTGCTGAGCGCACTTCCTCCGGCCACGGACAATCGCTGACCCACTACTTCCTACGCATCGTGTCCCTTGTGCTGGGCTGGGGAGTTTTTCTCTAGGGAAGAATATTTCCGGATTCCTGGACCCCTCACTGTAACAGTCAGAAGAGGATAACACACCTCAGAGCTGTGGTGAAAGTTCAGGGAGACACCACGTCTGCAAGTGCCGCGCCCAGGCCGGGCATGACTTAGGCTCACAGTACGGCTTTCCTTCCTGCTGCATTCTTTCCCTGAGGGTTGCTCATTTGTTTGTTTGTTTGTTTGTTTGTTTGTTCTGGAGCAGACCTCGGGTCATTCACAGAACTCTCCATTACTATGATTAATACCCACCCCCAAGGATAGCTTAAACATATTTCTACAAAAGATGTGTGGTGGATTCTCATATCACGCCAAGAAGACAGAAACACAGGCAGTCCTGTTCCCCAGCTCATCCAGGGGGAGACTGGAAGCCTGGAGAAGTTAGATCACTCCCGCTCTTACCCTCCCTGCTCCTCAATGTGGTTTGGGTGCTATTTTTTTTGCCCCTAAACATTGGGTTAAGTTTTGTTTTGTGGTGCCAAGCACTAACCCTGCACCTGCCCCACCTCCTTTCGGGCCCGCCTTTCCTGCATCTGTGCCCGGTGGGGTCCACGTGGTGGAATTTTCATCCTTCTCACGCACTTCCTCTCAGGAGCCCGTCCAACCTCACCCTTAGATGAATTTCTTTCTCTCCATCTGACCATAAATTTTAAAAATTAAAAGTAATTTTAAAATTTCTTATGCATGTGGTATCCCATTGAATTATTACAACCTGATTCATAAAACAATTTCATAAGTGGAAGTAGCACCATTTGCCGGGAAATAATGGACTCGCTCCATGGTCCCAAGTCACCAGACTCATCTTTGTTGATCTTTAAATGTTGTCCTGCTGTAATTTGTTGCAGATGCCCACCTGCTGGTGCAGACCAGTGTTTTCCTGGTTTACAGTTGATCGTTTCAATTCGGATCTAATGGCTAAAGGGAACAGCCAGCCTAGTCTTGATTTTTCAGAGGCTACTGAGAGGCCAGGAGAGGCCAAAAACACTACTCTGCTAATATAGAATGCTGGGGCCAAGAAATGAAAATTAAAATATCCAACCACCATCTTTCATTTCTTAGTTTGCCAGCTAAGTGAAATTTTAATACTGTGCTTGGTTTGGGTCTTTGAAAAATAATGATGAGCAGTGGTGAAGCTGTGGAGAGACAAACATTCACGTGCTGCTCAGTAGAAAGGGAAAAGGCTGAAACCCCTAGGGAGGTGATTCAGTGATGCTGTAAATGTTCCTGGTTTGTCAGTTCACAGACAGCTGTCCAAGCTGAGCAGTGCTCGCATGCATTATACCATCTGTAAGCTTGAGACTTTCCAAATAAAAATGAACATTTTTGCTTTAAATTTAGTAATTACATTGCAGGAGTCTAAGCTTAGAAATCAATCTAAAATATAACAATAATAACCAAAGGCTTATAGCCAAGATAAAAATCAAAGCATAACTTTAATAAAGAATAGTGAATACAACCTTACTAGATTAAATTGATGAAATAATATAATTGTTTACAATTATATTATGAAACAATGTGATCATTTATAAACATTTATGGTAGAATAGTAAACAAAAAACAAACCAACAGATTATGATCTCCATCCCATTAAAAAATATTCAGACTTTGAATAGTGCTCCTTAAAGACTTTTTCTTGCTTTGTTTCATTCAATATTCTTCAATAAATATCGATATTTTTATCATTTTGATTACATACAGAGCATTTAAAAAGATAGGCAAGATCGGGCTGGGAGCCCCGGTCTTTGGAC